GGGAGAGGCCAGCAGCCTCGGGCAAGGCTGGAGCTCTTGGGTCCTCCCCGAGCGCTACGGGAGCTTCCCCAGGCCTCAGGGGTGCTTTGGGCATCCCCTTCCCGGGAGCGAGCCCCGCGCCCGCTCGCTCGCCCCGTACCGCATGTTGTGCACGAAGGCGCGCTTGCGGTGCTCCTGCTCCTCCTCGCTGCCGTAGCTCTTCCCATACCTCTCCTTGTAGTGGTGGAAGAGGCGGTGGTGGACGTGCTCCGCATCCCGAGCCCTCCCCACAAACTCCTGCATGGGGTTGGCCAGGATGCGGTGCTCGGGGCCGGCCGCGGGCCACTGCTCACACTGCACACCTGGACCGGGGACACCGGGCACGGCTGAGCCCCGTCCTGAGCAAACAGCCCCCGCGGGGGCTGCTCCCTCCCCATGGATGCAAGGAGGAATCCGCAGCCAGGGGATTATCGGGAGGGGACCGGGCCACGTTGGCTGCTCCCAGAGCACAAGCTGGATCCAACCCTTCGCTCGGGGGGTTGTATCCAGGATGGAGGTCCAGGATGCTCCGCTCACTCACCGTCCGGGAGGCGGAAGACGCTGGCAGGGAAGTGGTGCCCGAACGTGGAGTACTCGATCTCGTACTTGTCGTAGTGGGAGCCCAGCAGGCTGTTGTAGCCGCGCATCTCGTAGTGCAGGGGCACGGCGTGCCGCGCTGCGCCGGCCACCCGCAGCGTGTACACGTTCTTCTTGCGGCCCCAGTAGGACACGTTCTGCCACACGGCGCAGCGCTGCCCGCGGAAACGCTCCTCCCTCACCCACTGCGGGCACGGCACAAGGGTGGCGGGAGGTGGCACCGCGTCCCCGTCCTTGCCCCGTGTCCCCGTTCCGTGGGGCTCACCTTGAAGTTCTCCAGGCTGGGAAAGACGCTCTGCGGGGCCACGAGGTCCCCGTCGGTGCCGTTGATGCGGAAGCACTTGCGCACGTTGACCTCCGTCTCGGTGGTCTCGGGCGTCACCTTGAAGCTGGCGCCGAAAGGCTCGATGGAGCCGAACTGGTAGGTGACCACT